AGAGTAAAAGCAAAAAGTCCTTACAAATGACCTCAGGCCTTCAGTTACCTCTCTGACCTCATTTCCTTTTATTTTTTTGCTGTCCCTTTCCTTCCTATCCCTTTCCTTTCTATTCCTCAAATATTAAAGACATTCTTTCCATAGGTCTGTGTACTAGCTGTTTCCTCAGCCTGCAATATTCTTCCCCCAGATACCTACATGGTTAACTCTCAACTCCCGTAAGTCCTTGCTCAAATATTATCTTCTCAATACAAACTTTCCCTAATCACTACTTTAAAATTAAACACTTCAGGGAGTTCCCTGGTGGTCCAGTGGTTAGGACTTGATGCTTTCACTGAGGGGACCCAGGTTCAATCCCTGGTGGGGGAACTACGATCCCACAAGTCGCACAGCATGGCAAAAAAATAAAATAAAATAAAATTACACACTTCAGATATTCCCAAAGCTCCCTCATTTCCTGCTTTTTTTTTTTCTGTAATGCTTATCACCTTCTAATAGACTATGCGTTTTACTTATTATGTTTACTGTTTATTGTCTGTCTCCCTGCACTAGAATGCATGTTCCATGAGAGCAAGGATTGTTTTCCTTTTTATTTACTGATATAACTCAAATGCCTACAACAGAACCTGGCCTACAGTAAAATACCTGGAATATAGCAGGCTCTCAATAAGTATTTTGTGGAATGAATAGCTAAATTTCTGGTATAGTATCTTGGCATGCCTACAAAAACTTGACTAATGCTGCACAGTTAAAAACATTTTTTTGTGAAATGAGATACAGGAATATTCAGTAATAAGGGGCTTGAGAAATCTGGCCACGGAAAAGTAGACAGGGACTAGAATGCACCCACAGACCAAGACCAAAAGAATGCCCATTAGCAGACCCCTAGATGTTGAAGCAGCAAACGGGAACACTTTTATTTACAGTGAGATCATTCTGAGCACATCTTCAGACACTATGGGGTGAGGAGAGATGTAAAATTCCAAGTAAATGACAGGACTTTCAACCTAGAAAATAGCTATATAGGAACATTTTTACTAAACTTAGAGAAGGCTGTGAGGTGATAGGGATCTTTTTCATTCATTCTTTCTTTCATACGTTCACTATTTTATTCCACATTTACGTTGTGCTAGGCACTGAGCTACAAACTAAATATAAAACAAGTGAGATACTGTATGCCCTCAGTGGAGCTTAAAATCTAAAGATACAAAAAAAAGTACTTGTTTGGTCACCCTCTCTGAGGTGATATTTAAGGTAAGACCTAAAGGATGCAAGAGCTGAGCCATGCCACAAGCCAGAAGAGTTCACTACACAGAAGGAATTTCCGTGTAGGGAAAGGTCTGTGTAATTATGAGTCTTGTGAACAACAAGGCGCAGGAGACAAGATGAGACTGAAGAGTTAAGGGTCCAGAGATGACGCCCATACTTAGGTTTCTCCAACTGGATGTAAGGTGGTGCCATTTACTTAGAACACTGGGGGAAAACAAAACAGGTTCAAGCAGTAATACTTTTAGTCTTGAGAATCCTGTGAGGCATCCAAGTGGGGATGTCAAGTTGGTGCCTGGAAGGATGGATCTGCCACTTCTCAGGCCGATGTCCTTCACTCCCTCACCCATGCTGTACGACGTAGATAGGGTCTCAAGTGTTCCAACCCCACTAGCAATATCTGTCCATGAGTCAGGCTACTGCAGCAGCAGCTGCTTGACCAAAAGTGATGGAAGACTGAATGGAATTACATTAACTCAGCAAGAGTTATCTTAACACTGCTGGGTGGGATTATTAATCGCCAACTTCAGTACCTTTAGTTTCTTATTTTTAATCAAATTATGAACTATGCTGTGGAGTTAGGTGGGCCAAAGATTTTAGGAGAAAACATTACATCCTTGGTGGTATGAGCAGTATCCAAAAGAAAAGCCACTTAAAAGAATAGTACAGGGCTTCCCTGGTGGTGCAGTGGTTGAGAGTCCACCTGCCGATGCAGGGGACAAGGGTTCGTGCCCCGGTCCGGGAAGATCCCACATGCCGCGGAGCGGCTGCGCCCGTGAGCTATGGCCGCTGAGCCTGCGTGTCCAGAGCCTGTGCTCTGCAACAGGAGAGGCCACAGCAGTGAGAGGCCCGCGTACCGCAAAAAAAAAAAAAAAAGAATAGTACAAACTCTGAAGCAAAGAGCTGCAGACCCGACAATCAGTAACTCCAACCTAGAAAAACTCAACTGGTCAAAACCTAAAGGGTTTTTTAGTCTATTTTAACCAAAAAAAGAGGCATGAAATAGTGTCTGTCAGTCACGGAGATTTTAGCCAACTAGCAACACTAGTCAGTGAACCCACACCTCTACTTCAGAATCCTTGTCAGATTATTCTGTCTTCCCAAGAATAGAATCAAAATCTTCAGTTTGATTTCTTTCAACTTACACAGCTATAATACTTTGAAAATCCTTGTTAACTCGTTGACTTAACTAGTAGTAATCTCTCTAATCTCTTAACATCAATCCTACATATTCTTTAATTCATCCATGAAAATTTCAGTAAAATATAAACAATCTACCTAAAATGCTTCCCACTTGAGTGGTTATATGAAGCAAAGATTACCCTTAAGACCACTCCTTCCAACTATAAAGACTCCTTCCAACTATTATATCTTTTTAATTTTTAGTGAGTTGGTACATTACTATCGAGGTCTCAGACCTAAGAAAATCATGAGTTCTGGCTGTATTCTTCAAAGTCAAGAACAGAGGTCTAAGCAATCTATAAGTGTTGCAGTTTCATGACTCCACTGTCTACATACTCCTGGAGGGACACTAATCCTACCTAATCTTGGAGATTAACTTCCTAAAACTCTAGAAAAACCAACAGTATTTTCAATGAGTCAAAGGACTGACTCCTTCGGCAGATTGCTAACAGTCCTCCTGCAAACACTCAACAGTCACTGATACCCTAAAAGCATACGACAGGGCTTCCCTGGTGGCGCAGTGGTTAAGAATCCGCCTGCCAATGCAGGGGACACGGGTTCAAGCCGTGGTCGGGGAAGATGCCACATGCCGCAGAGCAACTAAGCCCGTGCACCACAACTACTCAGCCTGCACTCTAGAGCCCTCAAGCCACAACTACTGAAGCTCCTGTGCCTAGAGCCCGTGCTCCACAACAAGAGAAGCCACCACAATGAGAAGCCCGTGCACTGCAACGAAGAGTAGTCCCAGCTCACCACAACTAGAGAAGGCCTGAGCACAGCAACGAAGACCCAATGCAGCCAAAGATAAATAAAATAAATAAATGTATAAAAGAAAAAAATAAATAAAAGCATAAGATACATGCTCATCAGTAAAAAGTTAATTGAAGAATGTATGTATTATATATACACACAAAGCCCCAAAAATCTATAACTTTATTTTTCTATTGTAATAATTAGCACTACTGTTTCCAAATGGGTTTCCAAATATGTGTTAATTAAATCTAGCATTTCTTCTTTCAAATTAACTGGTTAGCCCAGGAGTGCCTTCTAGGAACCTTTGGACACCATCAAATGTGTTTTCTGTTTACAAATATGACTACCATAATCCTAGATTTCCTGATTTCTACACCAATTTCAATAACTACCTAAATTCTACAACTGTTCAGCTTTTTTCTTGAGAAATAAAGAAGACACTCTTTTTTTTGGAAGCTGCTAAAAAAAAAAATCTGTCAAGACAAGATATAAATCCTTTTTGTGACACTGGTGTATGTCATTTAACCACCGTGGATGTAAGTTTCCTCGTCTATAAAATGGGCATAATAAGCCCTGTTCTACCAACTGCCAGGATCAATTGAGATTATATATGAAAAACACAACTTAAAATGTCATTAAAACTATTACTGTACTCTTAATAAGCATACTAAGTATCATTAATTTTCCTTTCCCTTTTTTTTTAAATAAATCAGGACTACTTTTTTTAAATAAATGTATTTATTTATTTTTGGCTGTGCTGCATCTTCATTGCTGCGCGCGGGCTTTCTCCAGTTACAAAGAGCGGGGACTACTCTTCTTTGCGGTGCAAGGGCTTCTCATTGCGGTGGCTTCTCGTTGCATACCACAGGCCCTAGGCGTGTGGGCTTCAGTAGTTGTGGCACATGGGCTCAGTAGTTGTGGCTTGCGGGCTCTAGAGCACAGGCTCAGTAGTTGTGGCACACGGACTTAGCTGCTCCGCGGCATGTGACATCTTCCCAGACCAGGGATGGAGCCTGTGTCCCCTGGACCGGCAGGCAGATTCCTAACGACTGTGCCACGAGGGAAGCCCTCCTTTCCCTTTTAATCCACTTATTTCCTTACAGGTTTACCGCAGTTACTTATTTATGTGACATATAACTCTAAAAAAGCGTAAGAGAATGTAAACTACTCCAGCTCTTCTAATTAACAGCACTGGGCTTACATCTTACATTTCAGCATAATTTAAAACAATTCAAAATTCCAAATTTAATGTTAAATGAAACTCATATTCCAGCAACTTGCTCTTCACCACAATGCATAAAGTTATAGGGCTATTATTACTTAGCCTTCCAAGTCATGAGTTAATGATGAATAAACCGTTACTAAACACAAATAGTTGAAATAATACACCTCAAATTAACGTAGTCACAAACACTGATTTGGTTCATGTAATGAGGACCAGCAAAACCTCACAGAAGCAAAGGTTTACGGTAAATCTAAAGATTTCAGTAATAAAATACGGAGGAAAATAACCCAGAGCAACACGGCGTAAATGAGTTAGTACACCTTCTGAAACTGTAGCTATGAGACTAGGAAGACAACAAAAAGAACCAAGGCTGGTGTGTCTACTTCTTCTAAACAAATGGTTTTTTTAAAAAAATCAACTTGCAAGAAAGTAATTATTCCACATTAGATTCACCACTCCCATATCACTGTAAAAAAAAAAATCAAACCTATATAGACCTCAAAAGTTTGCGTTTCAGGAACATACGAAAGCCAGTAACTGTGAACATCAGGTGCTTTCTCTTTGTTGATTACCGATGACACAGCTTTCTTCCTGACAGCCCACAACTAATTACAAGTAAAACTGCCTGCCTAATGGCCCGGCTCTCTTCCCACCTACACACTAACTACACGGGCGTTAAAGCCTCCCCAAGTGGATTCTCGGGGACAGAGCGCCCTACCAGGGGGGCCCGGGAGGCGGCGGTGGCGTCAGTGTACGCGCGGGGTCAGGCTCGGCGGGGCGCTGCGGGCTGAGCGGCGAGGGCCTGCTCCACCCGTCCCCTCGCCCCGCGCAGTGAGGTGACCGTGGGGCTCGGCGCGCTTTGGGAGCGAGGCCGGGGCCGTGCCTCCCGCCGGGGGCCGGGAGAAGCGGGCGGTGGGGGGCCAGGCCCGGTGCGCTCCAAACGGACGGGGGAGGAGCTGAGACGCCAGGGAGACGGGCAGCCCGGGCCTCTCGGCGTCCGGAGGAAAGGCTGGGGGCCCCTGGGATTAGAAGTAGGCCGGAGGGGGTGTCCCGGCCACGTCTCGCGCCCTCGCCTCCTTCACCTGCCACGAACACCACGAAGACCGCGCCGCTCCTCTTGGCCGACGCGATGGCGGCCGGAATGGCGCCCTGGAACCACAGCATCGCTGCCCTCGGGCACAGGCGCTCGCTCGGTGTGTAGTCGCCTCGGTCCCGGAGCTGGCCCCGCCCTCTCCGTCGTTGGGCCCAGCGGCCCGCCTCCGGCTCCGCACCGGCGCGCAAGCCCGTCAGCGGCCCCCAGGACGCGCGCAAGCGCGCAAGCCGAGGCGCGCCCCGCGACACATGACGCCACGCGTCGCCGTCGGCACCGCGCCCCCGTGCCTTGTCTCGTTGGCAAGTCGGTGCGTGCGGGCGCCCGCGAGGCCGCAGACCCTGCAGTCGCGGAAGTGGAAGGAGGCAGCGGAAAGGATGACTAATCGCTAAGTGGCGGCGGCGGCGGCGCCTTCCTGAGGCATGACGGGAATTGTAGTCTTCTTAGGCTTGGCTCCTTTAATGTGGGAAATGTCACTGTGGTTTCCCGGGCACGGCTAAGGGGGCAGCAGTGAGAACCACTTCACAATCTATAAAGAGGAGAAGTGGCGCTAGTCACCGGGAGATGCCATTCTCGGCATTACTGAGACCTTAAATGTGGAGGAAATCATCCCCGCCCCGGGTGGAACCCTGCGTAGTGGGACCATGTAATTGTGTATTATGATTAGTGGTCATTGTGCGATAGGGTGGGTGTCTCTCGGTATAGAACTAAACGGGCTTTGTAGGGATTTACTGCAAGGCTTTGATTTCTATTGGACTTAATTTATCAGCTCAACCTTGAAGAAAAGAACCACAGCAGTCACCTTCTGTAATACCGTACAGCCCGTGTACCTGAGGGGAGGTATTGGTTGAACGCAGACCTTGAGTAATTTCATTGTGGTTGGTTAGAGATCATTCCAAACCTCAAAACGCTTAGCTACGCTGTTGCCACAGCTGCTTTCAAAAGTCAAAAGCAGAGAATAGATAATGATGTATTTTCCAGCTACTTTTCAAGGTAATACAAAAGAGAAGAATAGATAAGTTTGTTTACGATGACAGAGTACTGTGATCAAGATAGGGCACTTTGTGGTTGGTTGCCATTAAAATGAAAACTGTTCATACTTAATACTTTCTTGAAATTACATGGTCTCTATTAACTATTGGCTAAAGCCTTGTATGGTTTATTTAAAGTTGCATACGCTATTATATTAGACATCCTACGTCATTTAAATTTCTCTTACAGCAGTACAGTCATTTAACAATCCTTGCAGGGTTAAGGAGGAGCTACATCTGAAAATATACCTTTCCTACAAATATTTAACCTAAAAATAGCTAACATTCTTTCCGATTTTTTTTTTTTTTGGCTGCATTGGGTCTTCGTTGCTCCGCACGGGCTTTCTCTAGTTGCGGTGAACGGGGGCTACTCTTCGTTGCGCTGCGCGGGCTTCTCACTGTAGTGGTTTCTCTCGTTGCGGAGCACGAGCTCTAGGCGCGCCGGGCTTCAGTAGTTGCAGCACACAGGTTCAGTAGTTGCAGCACTCGGGCTCTAGATGTGCAGGCTTCAGTAGTTGTGGCACGCAGGCTCAGTAGTTGTGGCGCATGGACTTAGTTGCTCCGCGGCCTGTGGGATCTTCCCGGATCAGGGATCGAACTCTTGTTCCCTGCATTGGCAGGCGGATTCTTAACCACTGCGCCACCAGGGAAGTCCCTCTTTCTGATTTTTATTTACACTTTTCCAACCAGGCCTCTCATACAGTGTTATTATAAACCGAAATATAATGCTCATTACAGACAGTTGCTGCTTACATAGGACACCATGCCTCAGGAAGAATTAGAGTTGATCTTCAACGTCAACTTTAAATGGATTCCTTGTGATTCCATCAACATATATATCCTTTTGGTAGAGCAATGTCTTTATTTCTAACGTTAGAATTAATATTAGAAGAATCATTCATAGCCTTTCACTCATTCATCAACTATTTATTGCTCATCTGCTACAAACTAGGCATTGTACCTGGCATTGATAAGAAGGTGAGGCAGTCAGACAAAGGCCCTGCCTTTGTGACTGCACAGTCTAAAGAGGAAGACAAGTGATGATGCATGCCACAAGAGGGGAAATTCTGAGTGCTTCAGAAATGTGATGATGTGACCCGACGTGGATAGCAGGGTTAGAAAAGACGTTTCTGAGGAGATGGCATGTGAGGGGAAATCTAGCTAGGTGAAGGAGAAGACCATTCGAGATAGAGGAAACAGCAGTGTGAAGGCTCCGAACGAAGCAAATGAGAAAGTACCCTTGAAGAACTGAAAAATGTCCAGTGTGACTAGAACATACAAAGAGTTGTATGGTGTAAATGAGGCTGGAAAGATAGCAAGGTTAGCTCCTCCAGGGCCTTGGAAGTCATGTTAAGGATTGCAGACATTTTTCTAAGAATTGTAGAAAACCATTGAAGAATTTTAAACTGAGGAGTTACACATAAGATGTGCGTTTTTAATATGCAGCTATGCTGCAGTTTTAGTGGATTGTATTGGAAGTGGAAAGGGTGAAAGTGAAGAGACTGGTTAAGAACCCAGAAGTGGGTGCTTTTGAGAATTCTGGAAGCGGACCCAATAGGTTTTGTTGATCAATTAGCTATGGAATTTGAGGAAGGAGGAGTCAAGAAGAGATCTTGGGTTTCTGTTTTGAGAAACTGTATAGAAGATGGTAGTGTGATAGGGACCACTGAAGGAAGAGCAGGTAGGTGGGGACGTGGGCATGAAGATGTGAGTTCAATATTATTAGCCATGTGTTTGGAGTGCTGGAGAGACAGCAGGAGGAGATGTTAAGTAGGCAGATAGATGTCAGGTTGGGAGCTCAGAAAACTGTTCTTACCTCGAGATAGGAATGTGAGATTTCTCTACATACAGGGGATAATTGAAGCTCTGGAGGATGTTCTCACTTACGGTGTGTGCAAAATGAGGTAAGACAAGAGTTATGACGGAGGTCTTAAGACCTCCGACATCTATAGCGTTGTGCAGGAAAGTACAAACCAGTAACAGAGACTTAGGAAAGGTATGGGGGTATGTTGAGGGGGGAGGGGGAGAATGGGAGCTTGTGATACCAAAGAAGCCAAGGGTAGAGAGATTTTTGAGAAGGGAGTGGGAAGCCGCTGTGTTGAATGCTGCTCTCAGGTCAAGTTAAATAAGATTTTTGAATGTCCATTGTTTTTAGCAATATGAAGGTGATTATCAACTTAGCAAGAGGGGTTTTGATGGGTTCTTCTGTGTGGAAGCCAGATGGCAATGGGTTGAAGAGTAAAGGGAGATAGGGAGGGGGTGTCAGTAATTGTGAAGAGAAGGAGGAAGAAAGGACATTAGCTGGACAGGGATTTGGACTGAGAAAAACAGCTTTTTTAAAGATTGGAGAAACTTGTACCCTATCAAGTATTGATGGAAAGGAGCTAGTCTTGGAGAGATTGAATACACAGGAAACAGGGAGGCCCCTAGGAAGATGAGAGGGAATATGTGATATATGGCAAATTCTGCTAATAGCCCACCCAACAATCATGCTTCTACCACGCCCCCCATTTTTCTTTGCTGGCAGAGTTTCCCCACTGAGAGGGAAACTGCTAGATACCTGTTTTTTTTGTTTGTTTTTTTTGTGGTACGCAGTCCTGTCACTGTTGTGGCCTCTCCCGTTGCAGAGCACAGGCCCCGGACGCGCAGGCTCAGCGGCCATGGCTCACGGGCCCAGACGCTCCGCGGCATGTGGGATCTTCCCGGACCGGGGCACGAACCCATGTCCCCTGCATCGGCAGGTGGACTCTCAACCACTGCGCCACCAGGGAAGCCCCTAGATACCTGTTTTTTTCAACCTTCTCTTAGAGCCAGTAGGACTTCGTGGGAAGTGGGGATTGGGGTGGAGGCAGTTCTAGGAGAAGTTTTCCTTAAAAAAGAGACACATGGAAGAAAGCACAACCCTTCTCCGTGTGCCTATGCTGCCTGGTACTGCTATGGCTAGAGGAACGACATTGCCAACTCTCTGAGAATGGTAGAATGGAATATGGAAAGCACCCGTGTCTGTGATGACTCAAGTCCTGTCTTGTGGGAGAACAACTGTCCTCATACGTTAGGCTATTCTGTAAGTTGGATATTGCTTCTTGTAATCACCACCATTCTAAACAAACTGGGATGGGATCCAGAACACAGGCAGACAGAAGAGATACCCTTTCCATATTAACAGGAAGAAGAGTGGAAAAATAACTTTGGACATAAAGAAGCTTATAAGTTTCAGGACAGTAAGTTGAGGAAGTTTTCATCCGAATGCTGGACCCTATGAAGGAGAGGTCATTTGCTGAGAGTGATGGGGAAGGTAAGGAAATTGGCGCCTTGAAGTTCGGAGCAACGTGTGAAATAATATTGAGGAGTGTTGAAAGGCAAGGGCCGAGGGAGACAGTGTGCCAGGCAGTGCTGAGGGCCTGGTGAGATTGGTGGCCCCGCCTTTTCCCAGTTGTGTGATTTTCTTCAGTGATCACTCAGTTCCTGGGGTACAAGCGCTGAGGATGTGGAGACTTGGATTTACATAGGGCCTAGACAGCACGAGAAAGGACAAAGGAACAAGGGAATTGAGGAGATTAGCAAGAGTGAGTGATGTGATGGACCAGGGAATCTAAGCTGACTGGGAAGGCAAGTGAGTGCAGAAAGGAGACCATGGATACCAAAAATAAGTCAGTTTGGGGGCAGGCAATGGCCTGGAGGGCAAGGAGTAGGCAAGGGACTCGTCAGCAATATGGGATTTTATTTTAATTCTATTCATTTATTTTTTGGCCACGCCGCGCGGCTTGCGGGATCTTAGATCCCTGACCAGTGCTCCCAGCAGTGGAAGCGCGGAGTCCTAACCACTGGACCGCCAGGGAAGTCCCCAGCAATATGGGATTTTAAAATGGTCAATCTTCTGGGTGCGGGGGAAAAACAAACCTAGTCAGGAATTATAGAAATTCCTGATTTCTTTGCCATTCTTGAGCTTAGAAGT